TCTCTGGCAAGCACATGAGCCCTATAGCAAAAACAAAAACAAAAACAAAACCATGAGGGGCAGGAACTGAACATGTGGTGTGTTTAGTCATGCTCTCAGAGAACAGCTCTGTCTTACATTTCCACGTTGCTAGGTCTCTCTCCCTGTGCACTGCTGGGTAAGGGGAAATGTTATGTAAGAAAACTGTGCTATTTCAAGGTGTGTGTGTGTGCACGCACGCATGTATGCACACTGTCTAGGGGTCATTTATAGGTGACTATACATTCTTGTGATAAAGTCATGGCAAAGCTGAGTCCATAGTAAAGAAATACCACAATTTCATTAGAATAAAATGTCTTTGGGGAGTGGCCCTGTTGCACACCAGTTTAGCACTGTACATAGGAGTCAGATCCCACATGGCTGACTGTGGTTTGAATACTGGCCCCAGCAGTTTGAGAAACACACCAGGTGCATGTGCATGCATGCCCCAAATCCCGACAGGATGAAGAAATGGAGGAAAAGGGATTGGAATGTCACTGTGCCCCGTTGTGGGTGCTTCCTTTCTCTCTCTCTTACTGGCAAGTATAGGCACCCTCTGGCAATTTAAAAAAATGTCATTTTTCATGCCAGAAAGCCCCACTGGTTATTGTCTCTTGCATTCTTTTCTTAATTCACGTACATGTACTGGAGAAAAAGATTAGGGAAGCAAATTTGCTTCTTCAGGTCAGATTTCTGTGTTTGTCTGCATCTCTTTGCTCATGAGTCTGAGCAAGAAGGGACACTGGGAGGCATCTGAGAGAGCACCTGAGTAAAGGCTGACTTCCACAGATGCACCTACAGTTTATGCTGGAATCCTTCTTTTGGCAGCATGTACATCATCCAATATCGATTATTTAAAACATTCTTTTTGTTTATGTAAAATATGACTTCCTATAACTTCTTAGTTTTCCTTTCTATATATGAAGAGTTATGACAACCCTTCAAAGACAACCTTTCCTGCTAACTGAATGTAGTTATATCCTGTCCCCTCAAAATCTTATTTTTTCCATACTCAACATAGATTATCTCTCTAGTCCCTCCTCATGGGAAGGCTTTCAGATCAGTTACCACCTTATAATTCTCTACTGAATAACCTCAAATCAGAGCTCACCGTTATTATCATTATTAAACAACTCTCACTTAAGAACATGCTACATTTGTTTAGATACATTATTTATTTATAAATGATGGCTTTTTAAGGCAAGTATTTTCATCACTTTTTCTTCCATTAGTGAAGACGCTCATGAAATTTAAACAACTTCCTCAAAATTACAAGTTACAAGTGGACGAGTCATTAGCCCATCCCTGTTTGGAGTCTCTAGACACTTATTATGTGTGAATGAAGCAAAGCCTTGCTCAAGGGCTCAGTTCAGAGCCGGAACTGGACACCTCACTGCCTTCTGCAAACCAAACACTATACTTTCAGGTATGAAGCTGTGATTACATGTACCTCTTTTTTTAATATATATATTTTTATGGCAGAGGGTGCATTCAGAGAATCGCGGGCATGTGTCAGACAGAGAGAGAGAGAGAGAGACAGAGAAAAAGAGAGAGAAGAGAAAGAGAGAGAGAACCACCCAATGAGGTATAGTCAAGTCCACAATCTTTTTCTCCTATTTTTCCATTCCATTACAATCCTGGGCACATGTGTATGCATTATGCATGCCAGGGATGTTGCCACAGGGGCCAGGATTTGAACCACCATCAGCCATACAGGATCTGGCTCCCTCTGCACAGTGCTTAACTGCTGTGCTATAAGAGTCAGTCCACACACTACAGTTTTGACAGCTACACCACACTGTACGATCATATAGACTTTGTAACCAACTTAAACTCAAAGAAAAGATTTCTCCAAATTGTCACTAAGTCAAACTGCCCTTTCCTACAAAAACATTCTATTTGTCACTTGACCCTTTCTAACAGACTGAAGTTTTGCCTCTATTCCTACTAAATGTTAGCTTTGCTTCAGGGTCCCATACTGTCTACTTCACAGCAAAACTGCATTCTGAATTTTGGTCTCTTTTAAAGCTCTATATGGCTTTTAAAAACCTCTTCAGCTCTGTTTTTGTGATTTCATCCAAGTCTTTGACAAAAACTCAGGTTAGAGAAGAGCAAACACTGAAGGAGAACTTCCCCTGGGCAATGTTTTTCAGTCTCTGTTTACCTACTAGACACTGTGTATTTTGCCAGCCAAGCTTTACTTTTCAGTTTGTATTGAAAAGAGGCACTTTGAACATGCTTTTCCAACTAGCATCTCATTGGCATCTTAAGAACAGTGTTTGATGGACAATTCATTTTTCCTTATTCGATCAGTTACAAATATATCTAGTGAACTCTATCACCTCTAAATTTCTTCACCGTCTTCATAAACGCAGTTTTTTATTAGTAATGTCTGTTGTGAAATTGAAAATAATCTTCTGGCAAAGACTTTTATATCCCAGTAAAAGTTACTCTTACAAATCTGCCAAATTTTAACAAATACTTTTATTGTAAAGGAAAATAATTGACCAACATTACCATGTCAGTCAAAATGTTCACAGTGACATTAAAATAACACTGTATTTTATCCAAAGTTAATTACAAAAATAAAAAGTATGTAGGCAAATCTACAGTGATTGTCTGTAATGAATCTGAAGCATAGATATAAATTAAAATTGGCAAAATGATCAACACTACATATTCCTAGGTCAGCCCTGGAGCATTATTTTCTCTACATGAAACACCAACTTCATTTTAGCCTTCCTTAGAAAGCTCTGGTAGCCATGACTAGGGTATTGCCAAGTAATATTATTTATTTTATTATAAAAATGCAATGAACAGGGAACCAGCAGTTAGCGTAATGGCTATGTCGCTGGACTTCCACGTGGTCGACCGCGGTTCGCGCCCTGGACCCGGTGGCTTAAAACTCACGCCGGGCGTGCATGCGTGCCCAAGATCCCGAGAGGAGAATGGAAGAGATGGGACTGTGGCATGACCATCCCCCCTGGGGGGTAATTTCTCGCTTTCTATCTCTATGTCTCTGTCTGTCTGGCGAGCGCACGCGCCCTATAGCGAAAACTCTCCAAAAAAAAATGCAATGAACAGAGAGACTACTCAAAGTTAACAAAAAAAGCTTCACTTGATTTAGATAAATTTTTCCAGAAAGTAGATGTATACAATCTCTCTTAAGGTGAGAGAAGTCCTCTAAGCGTCATAGTAAAACCCAGCTAGGACCACATTATTGGAACTACCCACTTCAGAATTAACATCTAAGTCAGTTATTGGACACTTTGGTCTCAGAAATGAGCCAAAATCAAAGCTGGCAAAACACAAGAAATCTATCTATGCTTGGCAAACCTTAGCGGGTCCTTGGAAACTCCTCCAACAACTCAGCAATGTTTGCAAAGGTACAGGATAACTAGAATTTCCTACAAATTAGTGAACCATGCCTTAAAAAATTTTCAGTGTGAAACTTTTCAAAACAAGGAAGTATTTTCTATGTTCCTGCAAATTTTAACAATTTAGGAATCCACTCTTCACTCCTGTCCTAAATGAACCCTTCATGAAATGGGTTGGAGCTTTCATTGCAAGAAAAGCATTGGGTGTGTGGGTATGTTACACAAAATGTTAACAGAAATGATCGGGCTGTGAGACAGGGGAAGCAGAGAGCAGAGACGAATGAATGGAAAATATGGGAAATCAAGTGGGCTTGGTGCTGGTTGTCAGGAGGAAAGAAAAATAGAAAAGTGTGACCATACACACTTACACACTGCCTGTTGTCCCTGGGAAAGAATCTCAGCACAACCCAAGGGCGTGCATGGACTGTGGAGGCCTGTGACAGGAAGGGCTGATTTTGAGGAATATGTGATGTCCCTTCCTTTATGACAAGAGGGGCTGGAGATCGGAA